TTGTTTTATGCATTTTTGCAAATCTGACTCCAGAAACGCATCACTGCACTACTGGCTATGTGTGTGAGCATCGGGGCCATGAGAAGACCGAACCTCCGCAGTAAACGTGAAGATGGCCTTTCTGAACATCTGCATTTGAAAGATGAAATTTCTTGAGATCTCTGCTCTGTGCACCTGAGTGTGTGGTGGTGGCTCCCTTACCCTGTGCACATTCCAGGTGACTGTGGTCACAGAACGCGTGTCCAGTGAGCCCGACAGCCGTCTGGCTCGTGGGTTCCACCTCTGGACCTGTCGTCTGCAGATGCAGTTGTCTGCTCACACCTTACACACCCGTGTGATTGAGGTTAGCACACCTAGTCTTCATGCTTATGGAGGTTCATATGCCACCGTGACCTGTTGTGTGGCTAGTTCTGCCGTGTTTTTATGTTTCTCAAATAAATCCCCCTTTAAATGTTAATAAATGCTCTTAAAGAATTTTTAACAATTATTATCTCTAGAATTAATATATCCCAGGATTTGAACTTTCTGGATTTTAGGCTTTAGGAATTTTGGACTTCAGAGACAGTGATCTTTCAGATTTCAGCATTTGAGATTATGGTGTTTGGGATTGTGTCTTTCAGGACTGTGGCCCAGCTCTTTCGTCTGATCTTTGTTTTGGGGCCCCCTGACTTACCCTGAGCTGGTGGTCCCCTCAGACCTTGGGGTCATTCCCGTGGCTCTGCTCTTCAGCTGGATGCTCTCTCCTTACTCTCTGCTCTCCCTCAGGGGTTTCATCTGTTAGTTCCCAGGTTTCCTTCATTTTGTTGGCAGCTTTTGAATCTTTCTGCTGTTGGGGAAAGTTCTGGCCCTTAGAGGGGAGGGTCGGCCTTGTTCTGACATGGTGGTCCAGGCTCATTTCCTCACCTGGTTCACTAGTAAAAGTGACAGTGTGGTCACAGGAGGATGTTGCTGTAGCATTCCTCCGAGGCTGCTCTCCTGGTGGACCTGGGAGTCACCACTCCAGGCAGTGGCTGCAGGTCAGCTCCCAGCTGGCCTCTGAGCTGGGCCACATTCTCCCGCCCAAGTTCCAGCTAGGAGTCCTCTCATAGGAGAAAATCCAACCTGGGATACTGCATTTCAAAGCCATCCACGATTTCAAAGCCAGAACAGCAAGACGCACAGAATTGCTGTAACCTGTGTTCCTGCAGGTGCACTGCAAGACACGTTTCTCCCTGTGTCGAGGAGTCTGCAGGCCACCCCTGCGCTGTTCTGCACTGTGCAAGCTCACAGATGTGTGGGGTTGGGAAGCAGAGTAGCGTCAGGTGTCTGAAACCCTGTATGCAGGTAGGCCCGTGACCTTTGTGTCAGGACAAGTGCCTGCAGAAGACACGTCTGCACTAGAGTGTCAGACCTGAACTTGGGCCCGGGGACAGGACTCCTGTGCTCGTCCTGCTCTGGCTACTGATTCGCACACTGTTCCTGCCCAGCACCCTGAGTCTAGGGCAGGGCTGGGTGGGCACAGGCCTGTGGAGGGGCTGGCCCGCTGCAGGTGGCCAGGCTTTACCGTGGGTTCTGATCTGGGGCAGCAGGCGTCCAAGCAGATGGTTGGGCCGTCAGTGCAGTGGAGAACCTGGGACTTGCTGACCTAGGTGGCCTGCAGGCTTTTCCTGTGTCCTCGGAGGGAAGGGTACAGGTGTGCCTGCTGGTTTCTGTAGCCCATCTCAGCCACCAAAGTTGCACAACTGCTCCAGATGTTTAGCTGCATGTGAAAAATGCCACGTTTGTGGGGCTGTCACTCACAGTGAGACTGTCACAGTGAGACACTAAAACTGGAGGATGTTTAAGTGGGGGCCTCCTCCTTTAGAAAGGAGATTATCGTGACAAAGTTGAAGGATGCAGAGCCAAATAACGGCCTCCCAGGTGACTGTACAGTGTCAGGGACAGGGTCTGTTCACGGCCATCTGGTGGAGCCCTTCCTGTCAGGGAGCAGCTGTGTCCCCACTGCCATGGTCTCTCCATGGTGAACCTTGTCGTCTTCTTCCCAGTCTCAACCTTCAAGCGCCACGGTGCCATTTCCTCCCCGCTTGCTCTCTCCCTCGCCAGCCTGAGACCTTCAGGGAGGCCCCAGGGAGGCAGTGTTGGCAGCCACCTGCTCTCTTGTCACTTCTCCCTCCCTGTGACTTGGGCTTCGGGAGCTCAGGGTGCAGCCTCTGGCTGCAGACGGGCCCCACCGCCATGCTCGCACAGCCTGGTGTGGCTCATGGGGATCCCGTGTGCCCCAGACCCCACAGGGCAAAGCACTGAGACGCCCGCTCCACGTGGGACCTTCAGGGATCTTTCAGAAGCCCAGAGAGGCTGGATGGCAGCAGATGCCTTCTGTGGTGTCACGCATGGGGATGCCCAGCTGCTTGGGACGATGGCAGGAGCAGAGTGGGAGAACCCCCACCAGATACTCCGGAGGAGGCTGGAAAGGGGAGTGTCTGGGGTGACAGCGTGGGGCAGCTCCTAGGAGAGCGCACACACGTGGGAGGCTGAGCCGTGGCAGAGGTGTGCGCGTGGTGAGTGAGGAGCGTGGCACCCGCGGCAGCGAGGCCTCTTCAGTTGTGCTGAGAGCTTGAGAGAAGCCCAGACCTGGCCCGGCCCAGCCTTGAGGCACAGCGGAGTCTCAGCAGCAGCGCATCCCTGGGGAGGGCTTTGAGTGTCAGGGACAGGAAAGGTGGCACAGAGACCATGCAGAACGCAGAGCTGACAGATGCAGAGAGCCCAGCACTGTCCTGACAGCAGCACTCAGCGGTCATGGAGGCTGGACATTAGCCTCCCTCAAATGGCAAGTGCTTCAATACCGTGTGTTCCACCGCAGTAAAACCATACAGGGGACGGGTGATTTCTGCAAAGGCCCTTGTGTGTTTCTGCATTTTTAAGGGTAGTGTGTGCATGTGCTTTGGAGGTGCCTCTCAGAGACCTCAAACAAGCAAGTCTCTGAGCCTCAGGGGCTTCTGGGTTTTGCTGTGAAGCTGCCCGTAGAAGGTGGGCCAGGTCTGCCAAAGCCTGATCGGTGCTCTCGTTTTAAGACCTCACACAAGGGAGCGGGACTCGTCACCCTCCTGGGTTACTGCTGGGTCCAGGAGCCAGGTTGAAGGAGGCCGCAGGCCTCTCCCGGCCTCCTGGGGTCCACGTGGGTCAGGTGCTCCGCCCATGTCCGGTGGATGTTCCTTGGAGGCATTTTTTCAGTTTCCTCCCATCAGTTACTTTAGGATTTGGGGTTACATTCTTTGCTCAGGGATATTTATTACTCAGTTTCTTGGTCAGAGGTACTAGAAGTTCTGGGTAATGTTTTACGGTCCTCACTGGAGCGTGAACTTGGGTGACTCTGACCCTTGTGCTCAGAAGGCCCCACATGTGCAGCGTCGGATTTCACAGCCTCGTGTTTCCACTCAGGAACCAACTGGTGGCGTTTGGCCTGTGTTTTCATAAATTCTCGGTCCTTGTAATACGGGGACCCACCCACCGCATGTTCCTCCCTGGGAGCGCTTAGTAATGACTTCGCATGCTCTGAGCATCCCTGAGCTCAGCACGAGTGAGACCTCCTTCCCTGTTGAAGTCCAAGTGAAGGGCACTGTTCCTCAAGAAGTGCCTGGTCCTTTTCCTTTCTGAGCAGTGGCTGCTTCTACCCACGGCAGAGGAGCAGTCCTGGCCCTGTGCCAAAGCCAGCCCTCTGGGGTGACGAGAGGCAGACGGCTTACTTTTCCTGCTCACCAATTCTCTGGTCACCACATCCTAGACACCTTTTTACATGGGCATAATCCTTTAAAAGGGCTTGTGAGTACGGCTCACCAGCTGCTGTAGGTGGAAAGGGGCATTTATCCCTTTCCCTCTGGGCTAGTGCCTCTTGCAATGGGTGTTCCTACCCTGACCGGGAGCCTTGGGATAGATTGTTATACTAATGAGGTTGAGTTCCTGAGTCTTGCCTACAAAAATACACCTAGAACGTTTTAAAGGAACATTCTGGGTGAGTAGATGCCTACATTCCACAGAATGTCAAAATCTCAAAGATATTATTTAAAAACCACTATCATCAGAGCGTCTCAGAAACAGACACCTAAGGTTTTAATCTTCCCATGAGCCACATGGCTGGGTGAGGAAGCGCCACTGTGGGCTTTTGGTGATGAAGAATCCCACCTTCTACGGTTCAGGAAGCTTCACCATGTCCAGAATGGTGTCCCTCTTGTGAAATTTCTAGGTGTAAATAAATCCAGGGCAGGCGTAGGACAGGCTTCCTGCTCACGTGTGGTGCCTTCCCGGATGAACTGAGGGCTGCGTTCTCCCCAGGCGTGCTCACCCCAGCTCTCCGGCCCGGCTTCAGGAGCTCCCAGCTCAGCACTGCACCCAGGGCATGCATGGCTTCCTTGGGGTGGATGACCCCTGGGTGACCAGGCAGACAAGGATAGAATGGCCACCTCTTCACTCACAAGCCTCTGAAGGGAAGGCGGCATCCAGGTTAGGACTTGGAAATTGCCTTCACGGGGAAGTTCTGCTGGATTAGGCTGCAGTTTGGGGCAGGCCCTGGGTGCTGCAGAGGGACTGAGCCACTGTCAGCCCTTTGTGTGCCTAGGGCCTGCGGCTGACTGCTCCGGTGTTCTTAGCCCGGAGTCCACGGGAGCCCTGGTGGAACAGTGGCTGAAAGCCACAGAAGTATTTTGTGGTTATAGGTGATTAAGTTCTCTCCCCCCACGCTGCACACGTGGGGCACTTTGAGTGAAATGTCACTGTCAGTTGACTAGTAACAGTGGAGATAGATGCACGTGGCTGGGGACCCAGCTGCTAAGGAGAGAAGCCCTGCATGGCGCAGCACCGCCTGCTGCTTGGTGGGCTCCTGCAGAAGTCCTGGGTGTAGGTCCGGAGCAGGAGCCTCCTCTGCGGCCACAGGCGTCTTCCCTGCACCAGGGCCACTGTTGGATTCCTGTCTTGCTGTGTTCTGACTGGAAATGGTAACCTCCCCTTTCACGTTTTGCATCCTCCAGGGGGACAGCCGCGGCGCTGCTGCTCTTCCGAAGAGGTAGCATCGACTGTGCTCTCCAACGGAGACCAGAGTCACAAACCTGGAAATAACCCGCCAGAAAAAGCCGCCAGTGAGTGCCAGGCGGGGGTTGCAGCTTCTGTGTCCATACTTGAAGGCAGTAGCAGAGAGACTTCCAAACGCCCTGAACAACATAGATTTTCTATTGACTTAAAGATGCCAGCATTTCACCCCAAGCAGGAGGCGCCCAGCTCTGGCGACGGTGTGGATTTCCCTTCAGTTATGGAAGGAACTGACCTGCAGCCTGCACTGGAGAGCCATGCTGGCCACCCTAAAGAAAAGCTGTCTGATTTGCACAATAAAGAGCATTCTGGGGGAGGAAAAAGGGCACCCTCTGCAGACCTGATCCCACTCGATTTGAGCATGAGGTCCACCCGGGATGAACCTGGCAGTAAGGAAGCGGTCCCCTCCCTGCAAGCTGCTTTGGTCACTCACCCATGTCCTTACTGCAGCCACAAGACCTACTACCCGGAGGTTCTGTGGATGCATAAGCGTATCTGGCACAGGGTCAGCTACAACGCCATGGCCCCCCAGTGGACGCAGCCCAGTGGCCACAAGAGCATCAGAAACCACTTGGTCTTCCTGGCCCGGAGCGGACGCACGGGCCCTCCACCCGCCCTTGGGGGCAAGGAGTGCCAGCCCCTGCTCCTTGCTCGTTTCACCCGCACTCAGGTGCCAGGGGGTGCGCCAGGACCCAAAGGCAGCTCTTCTCCCCTGGGGGCCACCATGAAAGCCGCTAGCATGCCTAAGAATAAGGAGAGCCATTCCGGGAGCCCCTGTGCACTGTGGGCATCTGGTCCTGACGGGTATCGGCAGGCCAAGGCAGGCCACAGCCAGGAGCCTCCCAGTGCTGCAGGGCAGGGGCCCCCAGCCAAACCCAGGCCGGAGGCCAGCTCCAAGCCAGCGTCTGTCCTGGGCAGCGGGGGCCTCGGCAGAAGTGCCACCCCCACGCCCTCTGTCATAACCCGGGTGGGTGCCCAGCCACTGGCCAACAGCAAGCCCGTGGAGAAGTACGGAGCACCCTCGATGGGGGCTGGCTATGCCCCTTCAAATAAGCACAGTGCCCCTGACTCCCTGAAAGCCAAATTCAGCCCTCAGCCTCAGGGCCCACCTCCTGTGAAAGGTGAAGGGGGCCCTCCACTACCTCCCCGTGAGCCCCCCTCAAAGGCGGCCCAGGAGCCGAGGACTCTGGCCACCGGTGCTGCAGGATCCAGAGGGGACGCAGCGTTGCAGGCCCAGCCGGGAATGGCCGGGGCGCCCCCTGTCTCACACTCCACCAAACAGGAGTCCGCAGCCGAGGGCCACGAGAAGCGTTTGGACATCCTCAACATCTTTAAGACGTACATTCCAAAGGACTTTGCTACGCTCTACCAGGGCTGGGGCATCAGCAGCCCTGGGCCGGAGCACAGAGGTAAGACTTGTGGGCTCCCTCTTCCCTGGACACCCAGGAGCCCCCAGGAAGGTTTGCAGGTGTGCCATCACATGGCAGGCTGTCCTCCTGGCCCTGGCCAGCCGGGAGGATGGGAGCAGCTCCCCCAGTTCCAGGGTGACCCTGTAGAGACTGTGCCAGGCCCGCGGTGGGTGAACCAGCCTTCCTGCTGAGTTTGGAAACCCGGCCCCTTGCTCCACATTGAAATCTGAAGGAGCAGGCTGACCGGAGGACTACCTGCCTCCCTTTTTGTCATCTTAAACAAGGCCTTGGTAGAAGTTGGTTGTCCTTGTTTCTCAAAGGAGGATGTCCATTTGAAGTGGCCATTGAGTTTTACACGTTAACTTCAGAACATCTGAGCAGCCCTCCAAGAGCAGTGGCCCATGAGCTGTAGGACCCCAGAACTGGTTGCTCTGCCGCTTCTGAGCCCGTGTTCCCTGTCCCCGGTCCGGTGGCCTGGGACCTCTGTGGAGAGCATACGGAGTTGCTGACTGAGCCTCTCTTGGGACCAGAAGGGTTTTGGATTTGGATTTGTTGGGATTTTGGAATCTTTTCATATGTATAATGAGAAGTCTTGGGAATGGGACCCAAATATAAAGACAAAATTCATGATGGTTCATGTGTACGTTATGCCCAGACTCTGAAGGTAATTTTACATAGTGATTTTAATGAGTTTGTACATGGAACGACGTTTGTGCACTTTGACCCATCAGGGGTCAGTTGTGGAGTTCTCTGCTTGTAGTATCATGTGAATCAAAGTATTTTGAATTTTGGAGCATTTCAGATTCTGGGATTTCAGATTAGGTTACTTGGCCAGTACTGACCAGCAGTTTTCCTCATGCCCCGTTGGATATGATACTCTTGCTCTTGAGTGTGAATCAGAGGTCACTCTAACTGACCATCCAGAACACCAGGAAATCTAGACCCTGTTGAAACAAAGCGGATAAGCCTGCTGTGGCGCTCTCTCTCCATTCATTACCAGGGTCGGGCCAGTGCTTCTTGAAACAGAATGTCTGTCTTGACCTGCAGTTTCTTAAAGTCGGTCAGTTTTTTAAATGGATCCAGTGCCTCAGATTCTTGGAAGTCAGAAGCACCGTTGGGGCCAGGCCCTGGGCTTAGGGGACCTGCCGAGAGGCCTCCCGGGCCTTGGCATGGCCATGCACGTGGGCAGGGGTGCTGGCAGGAACGTGGGCTCACCTGCCGGGCGCCCTGTGCGTGGAGCTGTGTGCCTCCCTGATCTAGGGTTGCCCTTCTGGAGTGGTGTGACACTGAGTCTGCCTGCCCTCTGAGGAGGGCCCTCAAAGCGTTTCTCCAGGGGAGAAGTCTGAAGTGCTGTCCACTCCTGGGGTCTGCAGTGAGGGCCTTGGAGACCAGCCACTGTGCCTGTCTGATACTCCAGATGAGATGAGGCTCACAGGCACACAGGGCCTGAGGCCTGCCATGCTGACCCTTATAGCAGAGGGCCGCGGCTAGCACTGTCTTTTTCCAGGTGCAGTTAGGTGAGTGGGGTCAGTCCCGTGTGGCCTTGTAGATGGCTGCTACCGGGGCAGTGCTGGTGTGTGGCTGGCCTTGGGTGGAGGCCACCTGTGGTTTTGAGGGTGTGAGTTTCCTCTGAAGAGGAGCCTTTGGCACAGGGGAGAGGTTCTGCCTTGCTGGTACGGGGTCTTGGCAGCTCCTCACCCCGTCCTCCTCTTCCTCCGCTGAGCTGGGTGTCTGTGCCGGGTCTTGACCACTTTCTCTTAGCCAGCCACACTCCTCCTTTAAGGAGCTGACGGCTAGGGGTTAGGGTCAAGTATTAAAAGGCCCTGGAGCTCCCCGGGGCCTGGGAAGGACCTGTTGTTCTCATAGAACTGAAGTTAAGGTTTGAGATCTTCAGATGACAGAATTTGAAGTATGAGTAGCAACAAATGTTTTCCTTAAAAGTTAAAAAAAAAAAAAAAAAGAATGGTTTTAAGGACTTTTTTTTTTTTTTTTTAAGAAAGAGGTTGAATATTGATCTTTGCAATGTGAGAAATACTCAGTAGTCCATAGAGCAAATGTATTTTTAAAATTATTTATTCTTCTAATGTATACATTGAAACACAGGAATAAACCTGCAAGTTTATGGTCCTCAAGTTCATTCTGATTTTTTTTTTCCTTAAAGTTTTGGTACTGGACACTGAACCCACTCCTGGTTAACCACTGAGCCATATCCCTAATCCTCTCTTATATTTCAGTTAGGGACAGGATCTCACTAAGTTGCTTAGGGCCTTGCTGAATTGCTGAGGCTGGCTTTGAACTCTTGATCCTCCTGCCTCAGCCTCCTGAGCCTCTGGGATGATCTGGGTTTCTTAAGGAAAAGTGTTTTAGAATTTTTGGGCTTAAATACACGTATTAACTAGCGCATTTTTAGGATTCTACCTCCCAGCTTTAGAGAAGGGGCTGAGATGAGCTCGCCCAGGTCTCTGATCAGTGTGCTTTGAGGTGCCGACCAGCGTGGTCAAGTGCCCTGTGGAAGGACTGGCTGCCCTGGGGACTTGAGCTCTGCTTTCTCCAGTGGTGCCACATTCCTTGGGCTGCTGGCAAGCGGATCGGAGCTCTCTGACAGTCCTCTGGGCCCTTGGCCTGCTCCCTGTCCTTTCCAGAGTGAACATTTTTCCTCTGGGGCTGGACCTTTTGTTTCTCCTTGTTTGTTAACAGTTTCTAAAGCGTGTAATGTGCCATGCCGGAAGGAAGCCTGGCAGGCTTGGTGCGCCTGACCCCCTGAGAGGTGAGCGGAGCGCGACGCTTCCTGCTGGCCTCTGCGTCTGCCGTGGGGTCTCAGGTGCAGAGCAGCTGCACCATGGACGTGCCACCCAACACTGAACACACCTGAGGTTCTGCTTTCCACCTGCTTCTGCTCAGAAGCAAGGCCTGTGTGTGCGTGGGTGGAGGTGGGAGAATGAGGGTGGTTTTGAGTCGTATCTGGACACGATCTCCTTCCTCCCTAGTCAGCGAGTCATTCTGGTTTACAGCCTGGGGGTGCCAATACTTTCTGACTCTTCTCTCATCCCCCGATGCGTTTGCTGTGTGTCTCCTACAGATGTGAAGACCACAGCTTCTCTGCAGGGGGCACCCACTGGACGCACAGCCATGGCAGCACCTGCAGGCAGGGTAGATGCCACCCGCTGTGTGTGACATGGCTGAGGACACCATGCGTGGTTGTGCCACGGGGTGGGTCCCCTGTGTGCAGAGAATGCACCGTGATGCTCCTCAGCCACCATGATGGTTAGGAAGCAGCTTCTCAGAGGAGTTCTGCATGGTTTTCCCTGATGATGCTTCTGTAGGATTGAGTCATTTGGGGGCCCCAGCACAAGAGGAGAGAAATGACTGTCCCTGTCTTCTTGGGAACATGAAGTGTAAAAGCCTCTGCATTTTCTGAGATCTGCTGCAGTGTGACCACCAAGTTTAGAAACATGACTGTAGCACAAGTGGTTCATTGATGCAGGAGTAGTAAAATACCCAGCCACGTGTGTCTCTCCAGACCTCAGGGCCTGCCTGTGTTGTATGATAATGTGGATTTCAGAGCAGAAATGTGAAGATAATGGAATGATGATTCTAAATAAAATAACATGGAAGGTCTTTCTTATTATAGCTCTCAAAAAATCGCTCATACCAAGGACGTATTAGCATGACGATCGTGTGTGCTCCCTGAGCAAGTTCCAACTCTGTGCGTGGAGACTTGCTGGTCTGCCCGTGCGGGCGTGTTGCCTGTGATAAAAGCCATGTGGTGAGGCCATGTGTGCCCGAGGCTGGCTTGGGCCTTCTCTTCACTCTCCAGGCCACCTTCTGCACACACCTGAAGTTTCTGGGTCAGCGTGTTCAGACTGCTCACCTGCCAGTCATCAGTTCAGGTGAAGTGTATGACCTTTTGGATGAGCTCTCTGTTTTGGCCTAGGCTTAGCATGATGTCATTGTCCACAGAGGACAAGCACCCGTCCTTCAGGAGTGAAGAGAAGGTGCTCTGGGAGATGCACGGCAGATCAGTGGTGGGTGTGCTCACGCACACGTGCTCTTTCACGACGTTCAGGTGGGCTTGGAAGCACCGATCTTCCTGTTGGTGATTGAGTAAGAAGTAATTTCCAGTTAAAATAGTTATGCAGAAAATGATGATGTCGCCGTTGTTGGATGTCGTGGGTGTTGGTGTCTGCTCATCCGTAGGTTGTGTGCGGCCCTTAGACGCTGTGCAGACTGTACCGAGGAAAACCCACAGGGTCGGGGTGCTGGCCGGAGCTGTTCCCAGGGGCTGGCTGCAGAGTGCGGACGGAGAAGCTGGGTGGGAGCGCAGTGGTTCTCTGGTGGAGCTTTCCTAAATGAGGGGAAGGCCGGCCCTCCCGAGCAGCTGAGCGTCAGTCAGCACTGGGCAGGCCGAGTGTGCCCCACAGAGGGCGGGCAATCCCAGAAACTTGGCTGTCAGTGTGGGACTCCTCGGGCGTCCATCGGAAGCTTCCTCGGGGTGGGGGATGCAGCTCAGAGGCTGAACACCTGGCCAGCGCGCATGCGGACCTGGGTTTGCTCCAGCACTGGCAGGGGAGGGGAGCGTTGGTTCGTGTGCTTTAGGCATGACCCCTTTGCAGACACAGGGTCTGCTGCTTTTCTCGGTTCCTGGGCTGCCACCTCCTTGGTTTCCCTGGCTTGCTTTCTGGGTTTCTAGTTAGATGCAATCCCATTTGTGCATTTTTGCTTTGGCTGCCTGTGTTTTGGGGGTTATATGCAACAAACCATTGTCCAGACCAAAAGCCTTAGAATCGGGACCGTGAAGCAGTAGCATCATGGGTGCCCAGGACACCTGGGCGGCTCCCGCCTGAACGGCCACCGTCCTTCTATCATGAGCAGGCTCCTGTCCATGCTGGGCAGTGGCCTGTGGCTGTAGACGGGTACTGGATAGAAGTTCTCTCCCTGGGCTTTCTCTGTTCCTGAGCAAGGCAGAGAGATGCCTTGGGCTTCGTGGGCAAGTTCTCAGATTTCTCTAAAAATCTTTTTCTCATGATCTGTCAAATAATAAACTGGACAAGGGCTGGGCTTGAGGCTCAGTGGCAGAGCGCTGGCCTAGCACATGTGAGGCACTGGGTTCGATTCTCAGCACCACATAAAAATAAATAAAGATCCATTGACAACTTAAAAAATATATAAAAAAAAATTGGACAAGATCTACCTTGACATCTGTATACTGTGTTCCTATTTCCCCAGTGTTATGTTGCCTAAGGTGACTTTATGCTGGTTTTTGGTCTGCGGAGCCACTCTGAATTGGGGCAGGAAAAGCAGGTTGAACACGGGCCTTACAGCCGGCTTCACTGTGGGTCCTCGTCTTCCTTGCATTAGCTTTCATAGTCAAACGTCAGACTTTAAGGCAGAAATGCTCACTCAGTGATGGTCCTTTTAAGAATCTGTTGCTCAGGCCTGACTTTCTAGTTGGTATCCCTCCCTGGAGTTGAGTTCCCATGGGCACCCAGAGGCAGAGGGCAGATTCTTTGGGGCTGCTGTTCACATGGAAAGCAGCTTCTCCACAGCAAGAGCAGGGCAGGAAAGGGGCAGAGAGAGCAAACCCCGGCCCTTCCTTTCCTCCCAAAGCCAGTGGAGTCTCTTTGGATCCGAGGAAACACAAGCCCAGGGCTCAGGTCCAGCGTAGTCAGTGATCTTCCAGGACAGCTGGGTGTTGTTACCTCTCACCAAAGCTCCTGGGCCACCACCGTGTGTGCCCGGAGCTGCCGCCTTGCCGGCTGGCTTGGGGGGTCCCATTTGTTCCTCTCTGCTGGGGCAGACAGGAAGGAGAATCAGGGGGTCTGGCTGCTGGGGGTCTGGCTGCTGAGGGCCGTGCTCACTCAGGCAGGAGCCAGGGGCACTGCTGGGCTCTGGTCCTGGCCACTTCCTGTTGTCTGTATGCATCACCTCTGTCACGCCCTGTCACTCTCATTTGCCCGACAGACATGCTGCTTGACAGCTGAGTGGTGGTGGCCGTGCATCCAGCTGCTCAGAGCCACACGCCCACCACAGCCCAGCTGCCCAGTGGTGCCTCCTGGTCCCCATCCTGTCCTGGAAGCAGTTTTTAATTCCCTGTAATTTATGCACCCTGCAGTCCTGAGCATGCCTGGTCTGTCAGCCGAGCTGAGATGAAGGCTGGCAGTTGTCACCAGGGCCTGGAGGTGGCCTCCCATGCTGATGAGTTAGACAGACTAATGATGTTTTCCTCTTCCCCCCTCTTCCTACCCTCCCGACTCCTCACCTCCATGCCAACCACACCAAACGTGCCATGCCACACCACGCCACGCCACGCCACGCCACAGCAGGGACGCTGCGGACACAGGCTCGCCCGGGAGACTTCGTGTGTGTCGAATGCGGGAAGAGCTTCCACCAGCCAAGCCACCTCAGGGCCCATGTGCGGGCACACACAGGTACCACCGTCCCTGGGCAGCATGGTGTGGGGGCTGCGTCCACCAGTCGTTGGTTCACGTTGTGCGCATGTGTAGACTGCAGGTGCGAGCTCCTCTGTTCAGCACCTGAAAGGATTTCCTTCTTTCTATCTTTGCATCCCAAGTTGCATGTGGTTTCACTTGAGATAAGGCTGTTTGAAGTGTTCTCTTTTAATTAAAGTAGATGCTTCAGAAATGCATATGCTAATAATCACATTGTCCTCAGTACAAATGGAAATCAGAGTGCCCTTCCAGCCCAAACAGGGCCAGCCGTGGCCAGACTGGCTGGACCGTGGATAGGCCCAGAATCCTCTAGTTGGTCAGTGGTGTCCTGCAGAGCCCTCAGCCCCCTGCAGGGAGACCTGATGGGGCAGCAGACAGTGTCAAGACAGAGCAGGAGCCTTAGAGAGATGGGGTTAGTGTGCTTCATCAGGAGTGAGAAGGGCGCACCCGTAAGCAGCCTGATGCAAAGTGATGTGGGCCAGATGTTCAGTAATGCAGGAAGAGGGTCCCTTCACACACACTGGTAATGAGCGTTGTCAGTGAGGGTTTTCTTCTCTAGCAGAGTCGAATTAAAGAGGGCAGTGGCCCCAGGCAGCCATTACCACAGTCTCTTACTGTAAGTGTCACGGTAAATTGGTATTTTCCCGCCACAGGCTAGGCACTGGTGTCTTTTAGTGAGAGTGCTAAATCTGTCGTGGGCTCGTCAGCGTGCATGCCCAGGAAGCTTGCCCATCTGCTAATGGACACCTTGTTTCCACAGTGGTGTTTGAGTGTGATGGTCCCCGAGGTTCCGAAGTTCACACTGCCTCCACGGATGCTCCCAAACAAGTAGGTCCTACACATAATTGGGTGTTTGGGTTTCAGCGTGGTGTTGGGAGGTGCTTAATGGGACACCACCAGAGCACCAAGGGTGTTCCACCAGGGGAGTGGTGGTACTGCTGGCCTCATTCACAACCTGCCCTTGGACAGTCCCCAGGTGATGGGTGAACATCAAGAGGTCAGGGGCACAGGGCTGGGGGGCGATGGTGCTGGGGGGCAATGGTACTGGGGATGATGGAAAACCCTAGAAATTCACGCTATTTTTCCCCAAATGGCTGGAGTCTTGAGTTCACTTGAGAGTGAATTACATTTAGCCTCTTTTACAAACACGTTTGTGCTTCTCTGTAGGGAGTGTTTGTGGCCAGCATGATGAGCGTGGTGTTGCAGGGCTGTGTGCCTTGGTTCTTGTGCTGTGGGCATTGCTTGGCATGGCAACAGTGCATTAGGGTGCCTGTGTATGCGTGCATCCATGTGTGTGCCTGTGTACACCTGTGTGTGTGCATCTGTGAGTGTCCGTGTATGTGAGCACCCGTGTGGGCCCATGTATGCCTCTGTGTATGGGCACATGTGTGCATACATGTGTGCCTGTGTTCACCTGTGTGTGCATCCATGTGTGCACACCTGTGTGTACATGTACCTGTGTGTGTACACATTTGTGTGCATCTGTGTGCATGAGCACCCATGTGTGTCCCCTCTGTGTGTGCCCCGTGTGTATGCATCTCTGTGTGTTGTGTGCCTGTGCTCCTGTGCGTACATCCGTATGCACCTGTGTGCTTCTGTCAGTATGTGGCTCTCACACGGGGGCCAGTGGGTGAGCATAGAAAGTGACAGAGCCTTGTGTGTGCCTGGTCCCCAGGGTTGCTCCACAGTGTCGGCAGGGCCCTGGGTGTCTCCTGTTACCTCAGGGAGGCAGAGGGCAGGTGCTCTCGGGCTCCGATCCCTTTTCTGCCCTCCCCTTGTCTTGTCCGCACATGTGCATTCTCTGTGCGATGTTCCTGCCCTCTGATAAGAGGACTCTGACTGCAGACTCTGCCCTGTGCACAGGTCAGCTTTCTTTCCCATAATAGATGGGCCCAAGGTGTTCAGTCTGGGCTCAGTGAGCACACCTCTCAGGACCAGCCCCTAGGTTGGATCCCATACTCGAGGTCAGGGCCTCTTGTGGTAGCTCTGTCTTTCCTTTCCTTGACAGTGCTTTTGTTGACCCATTGCTGAACATTCTGGGTCGGTAAGAAAGTTCCATTTTCCTTGAGATACTTTGGAACTGTGTCTTTAAGAATTCCCATGGAGACTTGTGGGCCAGAATAATTGGAAAGCACATCAGTAGTGGGTAGAGGTTTAAATGTTAGGGTTCTTCTTTCTCACTCTGCAGTTCTCATTATTTACTGAAATTACAACTGCAGTGTAGCATAGGCTCTGTCCTAGATGTCCCCAATGTTTTTGTCGCTATTTATGTGTAGAATGTGCCTCGTTATACTTATCAGCCTTTCCTTTTTGGGCTTGGAGTGCTCTACTAACATTAATTAATACTTAAATCAAATTCTTTTCCTGTGGGCTTATGAAGCTATAGATCATGGGGGCTTTCTTTTGGATCACATGAAGCTGCGTACTCATGTAGTGATCGTATGCTGTGACAGAAGTTGACATACACTTTTACATATACATAATAGACGCTCAATTGTCCAGTCGAAACAATCCTTGGAAATTGAGTTTTCTGGTCATCATGTATTCCCCCGTGAACGGGGTTTACTGGGTATCCACTGCAGGTCAAGCTGAGGCCAATGCTTTTCCTGCTTCTGTGATTCTCAAGCTCCCATGCTTGGTTTAGACAAGGTCACAGGTGCATTGCCTCGCAACAAGGGTGGAGGGTGGACATTCCCAGAGGAGAGCCCAGAATGTGAAAGACCTGAAATGGAAGAGTGTGATCTGTTGGAGGAGCTATCTGAAGGTGAGCGTGGCTGGAGGAGGGCAAATTGGAACAGGTGGGCAGAAGTGAGGGAGAAGGCTGTCCTCACTGGGACACGGAGTGTCCATGCTAGAGCACCCAGTGGAGGGCTGACATCTGCCGACCCAGCCTTGTGGACTTGTGGAGGTTCTGGGCAGGGGGCCGGGCAGCCCTTTGCAGACTCTTGAGGTGAGAGACTGGGCAGCCCAGTTGGGGGGCTGGAGGAGGAGGGAAAATTCAAGAGAGGCTGGGGAGGAGGTGGGGTGCAGGGGTCCTGGCTGCAAGGGAAGGAGAGCGATTGGGCCCACTCAGCGCTCTGAGTGAGGCAGCTACATGGGCCAGCCCATTCCAGAGCCTGGAAGGAGAAGCAGGGTGGACCCATTTTCAGAGTAATTGTGAAGTTTGAGGTGGCTTTTGGATGAGAAAAAAGGGCATGTCCAGCAGGCAGGGATGCACTGGTTTGGATGGAGAGGAAAGATTCTAATGAGCCTCTTTCTGCTGGATAGCTGTCAGCACTGAGTTCATTCAAGGTCAGCCACTTCCACCCAGAGACCTGAATGGTGTGAAGTGTTAGGACAGCGGCCCTCTCACCTTGATGCCCACCTTCAGTATCACCTTGATGCCCCCTGGGTTTCCTTTCTGTGGAACAGTGAGGGCACACTTACTGGACACAGTAAATGAAGAGGTGCAGCACCTGGCATGGGCATGCATCCAGCCAGGTCTCCTCCTGAGTTGTTCTGGGAATGAGCTGTTGTCCTAGTAACCAGGGAGCACGGTGAGCAACATGCATGCAGGCACATGGGAAGCCATGTCTGCACAGCCACCAGCAGGCACTAGGAACCTCCCCCAGGGCCTCTGGTCTCTGCTGGGTGTCCTTGCTTTCTCAGGGCCACCTGGGCTTGTGTGTGCACGTGCCTCATTTAAGAGCCAGGTGTCTCATTAAAGGCAGGACACGAGGAAACCCAGCTTGGGAAGAGTTTTGTCTTCTGTCTTCCATTCATGCATCCAGCTGCTAATTGTGGTTCTCACAAGACCTCCAGTTGAGAACGGCTGTTGTTGGGTGTTAGGTGTCCAGCCATGGAAAACTGCCCGACTTTCCATGTTAGTGTTTTCTGAATTAGAAAATTCTAAGAAACCCTAGCACACACGATCTCCAGTGGAACAGTCTCGGAGTTGAGAGCTCCAGGTGAGTCTATGGAACCGATGTCACTAGTCCCAGGCCAGAATCCAAGTACTTATCAGCACATATGAACTTTGAGGAGACGCGACACAGTGTCCTTTGCTGTGTGTCTGGGAGCAGTCTCTCTTCTGCAGCTGTCCCATGTGAGCCTCTTCCACGACAGGCCTGGACTTTCCCAGAGCGGCAGTGAATCCCACTGATGGGCAGGTGTGGGATGGGCAGTTTAGCCTCTGGAGTTGAAGATAGGGTTTCTAGGAGGTAGCTCATGATCACTACCTCTTGCCTGGATATCTCATTCTTTTGAATTTTGTGTGTGTGTGTGTGGGGGGGGTGGGGGTGTGTGTGTGTGTGTGTGTGTAAAACTAGAAAAACGTAAACGTTTTTAGGCACTGGCAGCAAAGAGCCATCTTTGTTTGTGGGCACCTGTGGGCAGCTTCTCCAAACCAGTGGATGGATATCTTTGTCCACTGGGTGCCTTCCATATTTTTGTTGAAGACAGACCTGTCCACATGGACAGCCAATCCTGGGAGCCACATTCTCACAGAGAGGAGGTGTTCATACATACTGTGTCTTTAAGATGCTTTTCCTGTTTTCACGTGATTGTGTAGATGCTCAGGCCCTGGTGGTCACAGGATTCATTAGAAAGGACATGTTTTGAATGACCTGATGAGACGAGGTGAGGTGCTCTGGACGTGTGAATGCCCAAGTAAAACTGGGAGGTTTGCTTACTGTTGCAGAAGTGAATTGCTTTAACATTATCATGTTGTCCTTAAACATTAGGGATTAAAATACTTTCTGAAACCAAGAAAGATGAGCCTCTCATCCCACTGGTTTTGGGTTTTAAAAGACCAAATTGGCTATTGAAACATTGAGTCTGGTATTTTGATTTGTTTAGATTTCTTGCTAAAATTTAAAGACTATGATTAGTAGTTTATTTCTTATTATTCTAAGTGTTATTTTAAAATAGTTAAGCTGGAGTGATAATTCCATTAATCAAAATAACAGGAAATGAAAAAATAAATGGCAACCTAACTTGTCTCATTTTTAACTATGGATATTATGCTGCAAGTGATGGAGAGTCTTGTAGGTTGAGAATTTTGCAGGTGGAGAATCTGGTAGATTGGTGTATTTGAAGATATGTGTGATCTATTTTTAGTATCACTTTTAGGTTCTCAACATCATATATATCACATTTCAAAATGAAGGTCATTTGTTTACATTTTTCTTATTCATAAAACCAAACGAGCATCTTAGGACTAGTTATTCATTTTCTCTAATGTGCTACCAAAAGTCATGGGCAGCACTGGCACCTTGTCACGAGCCCCTGCTGACCGGCTGTGTGTTGGGGAAGGTCTTGGTCCACAAGCTGTCCTGTGTGCTGGTCCCTGAGCCTGGGTATCCCGTCTGCCTGTCTGATACAGGCCCTGTCCTGGAGGCTGAGCACCTCCATGTGCGGCTGGAGCACAAAGGGCTTCTTTGCCAACACTTCTTTGGCACATACCCACGACTGCATGTTCGTGCCCTTACCTCGGAAAGCAGGGGGAACCAGACTTCATGAGTTGCAGAAGTCAGTCTCTGTCCTGCAACGTGAGCAGCCCTAAGGAGAGTGTCAGCATCACTGAGAAGCTAGGGTCTGTGTTACTGTTTTCCCTCCCAGGGGAAAATGCAGCTTGCATGTGGTCAAAATGTTACAGTGTGTCCACTTCATGAAGGTGTTTCTGGGGTTCTGTTCTATCTTCCATTCATTAAGAACCCTGCAGGACTGCTTTATTGAATAATAAGATGGTGGCCTCAATGGATCAGTGGTCTAAAATGACTCTAAAAATGAGGCATGGGAATGCATCTTTTCAATTATAAAGAGAAAACAGGACCTGGGCATCTGGATTTATGGACACAACTTAACAGTCTTCTTGGGTTTATCCAAGCTTTGCAGACCTAAAATGCACATTTTAAAACTTCCTGAGCCCTGTGGTTTAGCACCCCAGCCGCCTCTTCCATATCCTCTGTTGGGGGTTGTTGGTGCTCATTGTTCATACCTGACACTCTGTCCACTGCAAGTCTTTGTGGTCAGTGCAAAGGTGTTTGAAGGCCAGTGCTTCCAGGGCTGCAGTCTATACAAATTGTAGACACACAGGACACTGTACATCCACATACATCTTCTCTTTGTGAATGTGCCCTGATAGGTCCTTCTGGGACCTACTGATGGTGAACGTCCCACCGAGCCTCCAAGATCTCTCCCAGCATGATACTGCTGTGCAAAAGTCACTGCAGGAAGTTCACTAGCTACATGAGGGAGTTTTATCACATCCCCATTGATTTCTGCTTCCTATACCTCAGAGGCACTGCCGTCCACACTCTGCCCCCACCCCAACCCCGCGTGTGTTTGCGGAGTATCTTCTGGCTTCCACCGTATGTCAACCGGCAGGTGTGATGAATGCAGACCAGCTTTAAGTAGCAGTTTTCTGAAACTGATAGCTCAAGAAGAGCACTCAATTTGTGATGTCTGCCAGAGCTGCCTTATGTCTAGGGTTCCGTTGGCATAACTGGAGACTGGAACTTTCTGTGAGTGTGGTGGTTTGTGTGTGCCTGTTAATTTCAAGCAGTCTGTTTCACTTCGTAAGTGTTTTAGTCGGATGTTACTATGGTGCGGTGAGATTAATCTCTCCATGTTGCTTTGTCCTCAGATGGCAAGTGACACTACTCACATGGTGGCACTTCAGATGTCACTTGTGAGTGCTGCAGGCTCCAATCACACTTGCTTTTACCTTGCGGTTCACCCTAGGATACCACTGCTATTTTTCCAACATGGTAATTATTTACAGAAATTGGTGAAAGCTCTTTCAGGTTCTGACAGACCTACCTGTGTGGATGGCCTAGACGGAGCCATGGGACTGTCATTCCCCCTGGAGTGCTGCCTCTCAGTGCTCCCCACCTCCCCTCCTGCCCCCTTCAGCCTCTTCTCCAGGGCCAGCTGGTTCACCACTTCCTGCAGTCCGTGTGTGCGAACCCTGGAGGAGTCCAGTGAATCTGGCAGAATCCCTGGGAAGGGTCTGGAGCTGCAGTCGGGGCTTTGGCCTGGGAGTGAACTTGACCCAGAAGGCTCCAGGAGGGAGGAGGAGGATCTGAGCTGCTCTGTTCTCTTTTTCTCTCGCAGGGGGGAGACCACGCCCACCCCGGCTCCGCGCAGACCCTGCCGCTCAGGAAGGGAACCTAGGACGCCCGCGCCCCGCGCGCCCCCTGGCGGCCCTCGGCGGTGTCCTCCCAGACGTCCTGGCTGCCGCCCCGCTGCGCCCCTGACCATCCAAGGAGGAGCCGGAGGCCTCCCGACCAGACACCTCGGCCGGAGCCACCGCACTGCAGCGGAGCCTGGTGGCGAGGCCTCTCCCCGCTGAGGCTTAGGAAGCGAAGACGCCCAGCCCGGAGCCCGTGCAGGCCGCGCCTCTGCCGCCCTCCGGCCACCGCCCGCTGGGCGAGCAGGGGTGCAGCGGGCACAGCGGGCTCCAGCGGGGCTCCAGACGTCCGCGGCCTCCGAGACAAGATTGAGACACTGGAAAAAAAGAAACTTGTGTGTTGGACGGAGCAGAGAAGCTAAGCACTGTAGTTGGAGCCCAGAGCTCAGCGGGACTGTCGCGTGGTGTCAGGGCGGAGGTGCAGCCGAGGTCGAGGAAGCGATACTACTGCCTCTCCGTGTCTTAGTGGGTGTGGACAGTAGAGAACACGGGAAGGAGGTGGCCTTCAGGAGCCGTGGAGATCGGGTGCGGTGGAGAAGGGGTGAAGGATCCCCACCGCGCAGAGGTCCGGCCCCTACCTGCCGGCGGATGCCTGCCTGCGAGCGCGCTCTGCCCACCTTCCTGCAAGTCCAGCCGAGGAAGCACGTCTGTCCGCGGGACGGGTCGCGCTGCTTTGGGAAGGAGAGCTAGTGGGACACGAGGACAAGCAGGCTTCTTTGTTTAACTCAGGACCTTTTTGTAACAGGGCTACATTCTGCAAACTGCTCACAGAGGAGGGCTGCACGTCTTAACCAGTTACCTAGCCACTGAGTCCTCCCAGTCTGGGCCTGTTGTAGTAATGGCAGAAGAACCCCTGAGCAGAGGGGGCCCTCAGCACTAGGGTGCCGGGCTCCGCAACCTTCTGCTCCCCACCCCACCTCTCCCCTGCACCACCCCAGCAAGTAGGTGTCTTTCCTCTTGGGCCTGGTGACCTCCACAGGGCGAGGAACGGCTCCCGGCCAGTGGGGGTCACCAGACTGCGGGTGGAGACGCTCTATATACCTCTTCCTCGTGGTGCACAGCGAGGGTTGGTGGTGGGTGGTGGGGGTTCGGCCCGCGACAGAGGACCTTAGACCATGCAGTGTACGCATCTTAATCGTATTTCACAGATATAAATATTTTCTTTTCCTATTGCCGTGACACTATGTGTGATGGTAATATTTCTGAAAGTTTCAGATTTTTGCACATATGATTTTATGCATTATCAAAAGTTACTGCTGCCTTGAATGAAGATGTTCTGTGAAATTTTTTGCAAAAGCTTTACTAGTTTTTTTTTTAATTGTGAAATTTTGTAAAGGCAGGAAATGGATTAAAATGAGCATGCTAAATATATTTTTCAAAAAAAGCAATAATTTTACATGTACAGAAATTATCCTAACCTTTAATACTGGTGAGAGCAACAGTTTACTTAATACAGTAATGGATTAGTGCAGTTTTTGTAGAAAATGGGCTTCTGATACAAAGACTTTGTTTAAACACACACACACTCCCAAAGTGTGCTTTCCTGTTCTAATGATTTGTTGGATTATTATATTATTATTATTATTATTTTATTGTTATTGTTAGTTAATGTTTGGGTCTGGATTCTATTTGTTACTGAGTTTAAATTACTTGACAGTTGAGGTAGCGGCCACACTTGCAGACAATGCAACGTAACTGCTAGCTTATGTATATCTATCTATATTATTTTTTTTACTTATTTTTTCCTGATAATATTACACAGATATGTATGGGAATGATCTGTCTTGGTGTGCTTAGGAATGTCCGCGCGCACGTCGCATGACATCGTGGGGTGTTCTGGGAAGTTACTTGGAGTGAGGTGCTGAGGTGCCTTCCTCTGTCCACCTAAGATGTCAGAACACCCTTCTGTTGGTTTATGTCTGATCATTTTGATAGTTTCCCCAAAGTGATCATTTCTGCGTTTTCTTGGCTTTTATTTTCTTGGCTGAAAGTAAACGGTGACAGGGACGTTTAGGGACTAGCGGTCTGGTCCTGTCTGTTCTCTGTGTTTTAGTTATTAAAAGACCTTCTGTACCCAAAGTGACACACAGGTGTCGTCTGCATTCTTCCTGTTTCAGAGCGACCTGGGAAAGCGCAGATTCACCCGACCTCCTGCCCAGTTGGTCTGGGGGGGAGAGGGGTGAGCCTTCCTGCTGTGGCAGGGTGGCCTCTGAGTCTGGCTCCTGGGAGAGCAGTGTGAGGACGGCGGGCCCCCACTGTGTCCCCCACCACCTGGAGGGCTGGCTCCTTTCTTCCTCTGATCATCAGTATTGTATTGGTTTGTGAGTTTGTTGATGTCAGTTCAACCATAGTATTTAATATGATTTATGATTTCTTATTTATTTAGCCACTGTGTTTTGATTCACTTCTCTGAATGATGGTCTCACACGATACGCTTCTAAGTCGCCTCTGACTGTTAAACTCTCTACTACCTCTGCTGTCTGCCGTCTCCTTGTGTCCTAACAGATTTACAGTATTGGTCTAGTGTGGCTTAGACCACAAAGGGTTCAGCTGTCCACCCAGCTGTTCTGTCCCTGCCCTGACCTGTGTGCTTGCTGCTTCCTGGCTCTGCTCGCCTGACCAGCTTCACCCACCACCTTCTCCCTGTCACCTTCCTCCTCCTCACTCACATCTCCTCCTCCTCTCTGAATTCACATAACACACAAATGATGAGCTTCTAAAAATCCTTCAGGTTATTCACTCATAGTCCTTAATTCAAAGAATGAACATTTAAGTCCTCCCCAGTGCAGATGCTAATTGTCTTCTCTGGGAATTGACCACTGTACCTGTCCGCGTTTCTTCCTAGAGAGTCTTGTTGTAATCTTAGGTGGGTGCATTTCACCCTTGTCAACTCAAGACAGATTTTTGAAGCCAAGTGGATTTTTCCTTTTTGGTTCTAAAAAGTATTAAATATTTTAAGATGTGCCCCCGATATTTACTTATTTATTTTTTAACCCAAGGGAAACACTGGTTTTTTAAAAGTAAGGTGCTCTAGGAAACGGCAGCTGAGAGCTGCAGGGGTCACTTGGTAGGACGAGGCCCACTGATGCTGTAACAGGCTTGTTACCCTGCGCCTTCTGCCTGGCCTTGGGGCCGCCCTGCTGGGCGTGGGACCCAGGCATCTCTGTAAGGCACATGGAGGTCTCAGGGCCTCACACCTCTCAGGGTGCAGCAGGTGGCAAGCCCAGTTTCTCTGGGGCCTCTTGGGTGGTGATTCTGGTCATTTTCTGTTCTTTCAACCAGAAGAGCAAGTGCAGTTGATGGGGCGATTGGGGTGTCTGCCAGATCAAAGGGAGTGGGTGCAGTCCTCGGTCTGTAGGGAGGAGAGCACCCCTGTACTTACAGCCAGAGGCTTCGCCAGCATCCCTCCAGATGGAGAGCCCACCCGACCAGCCGAGAGGCTCCCCTAGAGAGACAGGAGACTGCTCTCGGGGCTTCCCCCTTTCCGCCCGGACAGTATCTGAAGGAACGTTTGTGTTTTACTGCTTTTAGCTTTAGTGACTTATCATTTGCAGATATTTATTCACTGAGCAAGAAAAACAGAAATCACAGGTGAGGACTTGTGGCAGTGATGAGGTCCTTGTTTGCCGAGGTTCACACACACTCCAGAGCCCTGACTCTCCTCCGGGGAGTGACCCACCCAGGGCCACCCAGCAAGGGAAACGTCCATTCTTCATCAACTTCCTAACTGTACTTTGAGACAGTAAAATGCAAAAGACCATAGAATTTGTATTTCTTTTTTTAAAATACAATTTATAACATTATATTTTGTACTCTTTATATTAGAATTTGTAACTAGATTGATGTATTTAACTCTATTTCTGAAAAAGTAATTCAGTGTTTCAGTTGTGTGATAAAAATATTTAGATAAAACATATTCATTCTATTGGAATTTGAAATAAATAAAGACATCTTGGAGTTCTTGAGATTTGTAAGACCTTTTACCCTGTTTCAGAAGGTGGCTTAAGTCATTCAACAGCCGGGGTTATTTATTTTTGTTGGCTGAATATAGACCAAAGTGTTAATGTTCCTTATTAATATCAACGTAGTAGTTCTAGGATGATTTGAAAGATATTCATCTAAAGAGATGCCAGAATATCCAGTGTGATTTCAAGTTCCCCGTGGCCTGCAGGAGATGTGTGTGCTCTGAGGGAGGAGGCTTGCTGGCCTCTTCTCCCCGCACACCTCCCAGTACCCCTCTCTGCCTCTCGAGCACACACGGGGCTCTGGTGCCACTGGCAACCCCCAGGGGCCACGTGGGAGTGGACGTGAACATGGTACAGAATCAGCCACACCTGAGTAAGACCAGTGTACCAGAAGATGGGCTCCCTGGGGCTGCTACTGTGCTCTGCTGTGGTTTGCTGACATCAAAAGCAAGGTGTCAGGCCATCGGGGCAGTGACACTACTAACCAAAAAAAATAGCCTGTGTTGAAGTTAAAGATGTGCTTGTGTCTCTGGGTGGAGGAGAGGAGAAGGGGAACCTGGCTTTCTACACAATCCTGGGCAGAAAGTTCCAGTGTGGACTGTGCCTGGTCCTCTGTGTGGCAGGGAGCCCTGGGCGTGTCCCTGCTCCACTGAGATGAATTGCTGTTTGAGGGATCTTTTTTGAGAGGCCCCTGGATCATGCAGACTGCAGCACAGCTCAGGAAAACTGTGCGACCCCCGTCTTTAGAGCCCACCTGATAGTTGCTGGCTCCTGGAAGGGGGAGATGCCGACGAGGACATGCCAACCCAGATTCCTTAAAGGCAGCCGCTTGGCCAACTCACATGACGGCACCTGTGCTGGGCCCGACCCTGGCTAGATCTGTGTCCTTCCCCGGGACTTCCCCAGGGACACTGATGTTTCTGTGTTCACGCCCCAGATACTCAGTCCCACCCCGGGGTGTTGACAGACTACCTGACTCCTCCCCAAGACAGCAGCCCCTCGCCTCCTGTGCCCGTCAC